GACTTTCAATCAGTGACAAACATCAAAACATATCAAATAGGTGTACTAAGCCTCCCTTACATTGATGCATACTTCCTACAGAACACAAACTGATTTTCAACATTTTTCCCTTCTCTCCATTTTCAGCTCTCCTTATTTTTCTACATATATTATGGTAGCAGAATGAACATTAAGAAAAAAAAAGTTACAAAGAAAAAGAATCGGTGTAGACTGTTCTGGAAATAAATATGAAATTTCAAACAGGGTCAATTTACAGGAGTTACTGTTAAAAAGAGAGTAGATGTCTTTCAATGAAAGAAGTTATTTTTTGTCACAAAGGACACGTTCCTTATACCATCACTGAAAAGACAAATCCAGGTGTTGGTTCTAAACTTCTGAACATGGTAACACAATTTTTACTTCACTGCTAGAATGTTCTGCACATTTTTGCTGTCTACTGTTGCTATGACTAAGTACTTAGTCATAAGTTGATTTAAAAACATTACCCTAGCTTAAACAAAATTAAAACAGTTCCTCCAACTCACAAACAATCCATTTTTCTATCATTGCCCTTAGCAGACTTTGTCTAATCTATTAGCAATCTACTAGTAATTATATTAGACATGCAAAGACAGCTCAAAACTATAATTCTAACATTTTAAATACATTACAACAGAGCACAGCATTTGTCTGTACAAGTCAAACAGGTTTTTACCCTACCACTCCCTCCCTTTTATTTAAGTATCTAGAATGATGACAGTGAAGGCAAAATAGATTTCAGAAAAAAAAGAAACTGAAAGGAAAAAACTATTTAAATACACTTTCTCATTTCTTAAGTTTAGTATAAACTTATCTTCTGACAACTTGTTAAAAATTTCTGAGGTTTTTTTCCTACACAGATTATTATATAGTGTACAGTTCAAATAAAATGTCACAATGTATCCACATTTTTTTTCTACCACAAGGAAAGTCTCAGTTCTCAAAAAAGGGTCAGTGTTCTGCAATTTTGTAAGAGAAGGTATCACCCCACAAAACTTGAATTATAACAAAAAAAAAAAAGTGGCTAGTGCTTGCAAGAGTACTTACAGATGCTGCTACTTCATGCTCTTTTCCTTCCCTCCATCACCTCGTATCTCTTTTGGTTTTAGCTACTGCCCTTCCCCCACACCACTTCGCCCATGTAAAATTCTAGCAACCAGGAAAGAGGGGGACCTAGTGACACATTACTGTTTCAAAAACCATCAGAAAGTACTTGCATAGTGCTGCTTAGGATCCTCTACCCAACCCTAACATAACCAATTAAAAATACACCAAGAATCCCCTCTTTTCTTAAGCATACTGCAAAGGCTGCTGTCATGAATTTTGGAGAAAAAGGCCATTCCCACACCTTTACACATTACAAAACTGTGTTTACAGGAATAGATTCGTTTTCTCTCCTAGCTGTAACCAGGGCTAGCCACACTTGGCAGCTGAAGCTCACTTTTTGGCAAGCGTAGCTCAAAGCAGTGTCAACAATGTCACAAATTCCAAAATGCTATGTACCAAATAATGCATACATGAAATAACGACTGATGCTTTTCTCCTATGAGGTAGAAGTACACCTCAGCCACTCTGAAATGTGCAAGGCATGTACACAAAATGAGTCACTCAGTTGTTCAGGCTCTATTTACCGCACAGCTATGCATACCATCCAGGAGAAAGGCAACACATTAAACTGCAGTGGCACACAATGAAATACAGTAAAAGAGAACTACCATCTCCAATATGCACCAAAAGCTCACCTAAATTATTCCCTGTACCTGTATATTCTTTACACCACATTTTATACTCCTCTGAAGATTCTTTTAATTACTCCAGAGAAAAGATAAATTATATATTTCATATATTCAATAGTTGGAAAAGACTATCACTTCAAGTGCCAAATCTTACATACTTATCCAGATTAAAGCATTGTAACTGTAAACAGCATACAAGACAGCAATTCAAACCACACTTTTTAGATTCTCATACTCAAACCTATATAGCCAGTGAGCAATGTGAAGTCTGAGACTAGAACTTAAGGACCTCATGGAATAAAAACAGAGCAACTGAAATGTACCTTTTTAAAATAAAAAAGCAAACGTTTTACATAACATGGCAATTTTTTTCAAGTATGCATGAAGAAGTCTATGCATTTTAAATGTAAAATCTAAGCAAAACAAGACATTACAGACCAAATCAAATATTAATTGCCTCATATATACTTATGACAGGGTTCTGACATGTTTTAACACTTTCAGAAATTAAAGCACACTGCTCTTCTGACAGACTTCATCTGGGAAGCATGTTCCCACTGCATATTTTGAGTTACACAAATCCCACATCTACTCTATGTAAATCAAGTTATCAAATGGTATTTGGGGTTTTTTTCCCACCTCCATTTGCATTTTTCTGTCTTTCTCAGCTTTTGGTATTAATTCCTGGTGACTCAACACCAAAATCAAATCAAGACTGAACACTGAATGGTTTGATGTGTAAGTCAAATCAAAATGTACAGCACAATTAAATGGTAGGAGCTTCAAATTTAACAGCCTCATCAGCAGGTAAACCTGAGACTATAAAACTGTTAGTAAAACACTATAAACAAGCATTCCTTTTACTTTATACTTTCCTTGCCCACATGCAGTCCCCAAAGCTGAAAAGACCTTTTTTTTAACTCAAAGACAATTCTCAGACTACAGTAGTTAACTTCTACTATCACTCTTTTACAAATGAGCTTAAAAATATAACTAACATGTTCACTTTTCTGTTTAAGGGGGAAAAAAAGCCAGGCAACAGTTAATGTAACTTTCAAATTTGTATCAGCATGACTGATGATGATAAAGTTTGCCAAACAGAAGGGTGATATTTCACAATCCCAGTCATATCTCATGCTCCCTTCCTCCAAGTATAATTGAATATAGCACAAACATGCTGCATAACTGATCAGCACATACACAGTAGATGCAAAATCTAAAGAAGGCACCAGGTGAAACAAATATGCTAGCTAGATAAATTTATTTCACACAGGTAAATCCCTGCCCACTTCCAATAGCTATCTCCAGTCACAATAAAAGCAGTGTCAAAAGAGCACTAAAACTGCTGCTGCCACTCACTCCCTGGATGCAAAACTTGCTCCCTACACATTCCCAAAGCACCCCGAAGAAAAGATAACAGCCAAGTACAGACTAATGTTCCCAGTTGTTTGTATACCAAAAGCATTCCTCAACTTTGAAAGATCCCTTCATCAAGCGCAATGAACAGTCACCAGAGAACATAAAGGACAAACGTTTCACATGGCCTTCCACAAAACATGACTAAGGCTAGCATTAGACTGCTACCCAAACTGCATGTACCAATTAGCAAGAAATTCCATTTTCCATTCTTTTTAGTATGTGGAGGTAATTACAGAAGCTCCAGAACACAATCCAGTTTAGTCCTCCCATATTTAACAGTTTTCTTCAGAAAATTATCACCATATTTATTCATTCCCACTACTTCCATGCATAACCGGATTGTTTCCTTTTAAAATCTAGAGAATAAGTCCATTTTTACAAGGCAAAGAACACTATCTTTTTGACACTTCTATGCCTTTCCTTGTATTTTAATCACTCTGATAAACCTGCCTTTCCTTCTTTCTAACATTATATTCATGATATAACTTCTACAATCAACAAGAACAACCAGTTATGTCAGCTCAAGTGTCTTTATTTCATTGTCTGGCTAATATCTGAAAATATGGTTCCAAAAATCACACTACCTGCTTACAGCATTTCATGAACACTCAAATTCTCCTAAGATTTTAAGTCACTCATAGTTAAGAATTAAATGAACAATGAATCCATTACTTCTCCTGAAGTGAGAATGTCAGAATTCAAGGTTCAAGCAATGCACAGTCTACCTGAAACTGCTTCTTCATTAGACATAGTTGAGGAGAATTTATAAATTGTTCTGCCTCAAAGATATGTGGGGCAGTTTACTTCCAAAAGATTTGAACTTCCTTAAGAATTCCTCTAAGCCACTAAATACATTCCAGAAGTTTTAATCAGTTAACACTTTGTCCTCCCAGGCAATGGAGACAGACTCATGCCGGTTCATACTACTGATTTGGTTTAGCTCCCACAGAAGTACTTAATAACTACACTTCCCTCTGGATTCAGAGTGATGTTAAGCTGGTCTCCAATACTGCTCCAACAAGTGGAGACAGATGGGTCCAGAATCTACATAACTGACTTCTTGCAGCTCCTCCTAGAAGCAAGCTTGCTCAGAAACATAATACAGGTACATCTCACAGAATAGCTGCTATGTCTACAGGTCAGCTGTATTATATAAGACCTAGTCCAAATCCAGCAGGACCAATACTGAATCTGAGCCAAAGAGCTTTACTAGGCAAAACCTGGCTTACTAAGCAGTTAACATAGATCAGCTTCAGGTGAAAAGGCAGCTACACAGTATAGCTATAAAGTCCACTGAAACAGAATTGCTTGCATGCATTCGTTAATGTTTCTGAACTTCAGAAATAAAAAGTAAAGCAAAGCAAATGCCCATCTCTTTGCCTACATAACAAATTCTACTTCCCACATTTTTGTGTTCTATTATAGACAGTCACTTCTTTTTTAACTTCAGAGGCAACCGTTTTGAAAAAAAAAAAAAAAAGGGGGGGAGGGAGGAAGAGAACATGTCTTTTACAGTCACCATGCAACAGTGAGAAAGTGTTGTTTTGAAAAACATCTGCAAAATTAAGCTTTAAAATTAGAAGCTGACACCACTACATTAATCTAGAACTACTGTTTACAGTTCAGTGCCTAGAACAGTCTTTTGTGTAGAGCCTCCAATTAACCTCTAGGGATTTTTGGTTAATAAAGCATATACTGCTGATTAAATATCAATTATATCAGCTGACAATGACTAGTTAAAATCTTACAGCTTGCAATTACTGATGCTCAAATTAGTTCATCTTGAATCAATAATTTGCCCACTTATTTGCTAAGTGTACATCCTACCTTGACACCAACTGCAACATCAGTGACAATGCTGTAAAAAAAAAAGAAAAAAAAAACAAGAACACAAGTCAAACAATTTATCCTCAGAAAACCAACTTTTTAATGTATTGCAATGCCAAAATGATGAGGAATCAAAACAGCCCAACAGTTTCCCCAATGAAGAAAACATGTCCAAAGACCACCGCAGGACTGAAATACCAAAAAAAAGGAAGAAAAAAAAAAAAAAAGACAAAAGCCACTGAGCTCCCCCAACCTATAGGCTGCTCCAAAACAGTCCAGTTTCAAGCAAACATTACATCAAAGCAGCAGTGCCAGGAAACTCAGGTTTCTGGACTACATGAGATCATAGGGTGAAAACAAAGGAATTTAAAAACAAGTAAACTTCTCACACACATCTATTAACTAGACAGATAGCTCAGGAACATAGCCTACCCTACAGCTCTTCTTACAGCAGAAAGCAATTAAGATGTTTTTTGAAATTAACTGGAAAAAAAAAAAGACTGGATTGGCAGTCACACCTATATGAAATTTAATTAAATTTAGTGAACTTTAATGAGGAACTCTTATACAAAACTCTGCAACAGGTATGTCAACATACATCTTTTTCTTAAGAGGTTGTGACTTCATAACTCACAATGTGTCACAGAATCCATAAAGAAACCTAAGTCCACACCAAAAAAAAAAACTGAAAGCAAAACACGACTATGGGAAAACATTCCACAACTTAATTCTCATTAGTGACAAGACTACTCAGACAGGATTTGTAACTTCCAACATTATAATCACAACTAACCATAAAAAGCCTTCAAAACTCGCACAGTTGAAAGGTTATATGCTTAAAGCATACCAAAGAGATTGCTCCACTGTTTGAAGCAGAGCAAACTACTTAATAGAACATTTGGAAGCTGGAAGACATTGTATTTTCAGTGACAAGGCTACAGCCACCAGAGTCGTTTTTCAGGTCCAACAGAAAGAAGGCCTTGTGTATAGTGACCGCCCATCCCAGCTCTCGACCAGGACCCAGGGCCCTCACCGCCTCCTACGGCTGGCTCCTTCGAAACCTCCCTTCCTTGGCTTTTTTACACAAAGATATCTTTCCAGCTGGGGAGGGGGAGAAGCCTTATCAGAAGACTTATCAGGCAGTTTCTGAAAACAAAAGAGCTCAACATCTGGCTCTTGGCGGTATCGCTCCTCCCCTCCAGGAAGCTCCAAAACAAACCCCACGGAGCGTCCCTCCTCACCTCACGGCCTGGGACGAGGAGAGGGGCTAGGGGAAAGGAAGAGAAGCCGAAGGGAGAGAACCTGGGGCGCTGGAGGGGGCAGATGGGGGTACATAGACTCCTTTACGGCGTCTCGGGCACTACACTAAGTAGGAGACGGCCCAAAGCCCTCAGCAATTTAAACGTGAAGACCCTACGGCAGGGCCCACGCTACAGAGAGCCCGACCCCCCTCTCCCCCGGCCCT